ATATATATATATATATATATATATATATATTTATTGTTTTTAGTTTCTACGATAACGTTTTTTCACTGTTTTGAAATAACGTGTCAAACATTTGAATACTTTCAAATGAATTCAACTCATTTTGATGTTTGACACGTTGTCTACACGGTGAAAAAAATATTTTCAGAAAAACAAAAGTTAAGCAAAAAGTTTTTAAAGACGAAAAAGAAAAATGAAAAAAATTGCATATTTCAATAACCAAAATGATATTTAAGCCTAATATTACTACTTTAGTCCCATATTTGATTGAGATTTTAAATTAATATGGTAAATCATTTGACAATTTTTTACTTTCAAGACTAAAATGAGAATGTCTTCCAAATTCAAGAACGAAGCAAGCAAGTGTATTAAAGAAGGAAAAATGTTTGATTTGATCCCTTACTCGATCGATCAATATACGTTGTTATTAAAGGAAGGGCTAGTGGGACAGTTCCCCCTGAGGAGTTCTTCTATCATTTGCAGTGCAATTCTCTCTTCCTCGTCCATCTCTGTTCGCACTTGTTGGGTCTGATGATGATCACACTGAGAAAACGAAGATTGAGGCATAGAGCTATTAACATTATTATTATTAATATTAATATTATTATTATTATTATTATTATTATTATTATTATTATTATTGTTATTATTTTCTCCACCACCACTAGCCTTGTTTCCAAGGGGAACCATCATGACCCAGTTGGAGTCAGAGCGTTGACCGGCGCGTTTCTGCCACACTCCGATGTGGGAGTTTTCGGGGTCGAGCCTCAAGCAGGTCATGGAAGGGGAAGGAAGTTTCCCACACTTTCGGAGCTTGGCGTGGAGAATCTCTTCGAGTTCCTTCGAGGTTGATGGGCCTTCTTCGGGCCTTGTTTGGGCCTTTGGGTCTCCCTCGGGGGTTTGGGCTATTGGGAAATTCGTTTTCGCGTTGCGCCCACTCATCAATATGGCTGCTTGGTCGTACGCTCGTGCGGCTTCTTCTGCTGTTTCGAACGTCCCCAGCCATACCCTCCTTTTACTGTTTTCATGTATCAACTTAGTCAAATCGATAAATAAATAAATGAATGAATTCATGAGATTGTAGGTTTTTTCTTTTTGTATTTTAGAAGAAGAAAAAAACCACTTACTGTAAGAGATCACATGTGAACTAATAAGGTAATCATAATAATGTAATAGCAAAAAAAAAAAAAAAAAAAACAAGTTTTGAGTCTTTGTGTATTTTATGTAGAATATAAGAATAAAATAATTAATGTTAAATATGTGTGAATAATTAACAATTACATGATGTGAGTCGTTTTTAGTAGTTATCTAAAGGGTGGGAGATATTTAAAAAAATAAAGTTAAGAGTAAAGAAAAAAAGAATAAAAACAAAATAAATAAAAAGCTTTAGAAGAAAGTGTTTTGAAAGCTAAGGAACAAAATGGTGGTTAACAAAATATGTACATATGAAAACGTTTTTATTAATAAACGAGAAAAGAAAGAGACACTCTATGTCTTTCTATTTAAGAATAAAAAGATAATGAGAATTTATTTTTAGAGAGGTATGAAAGTTCAATACCATTAAAGTAGAAAAAAAATAGAATAAATAAATAAAGATATTTATCCCAAAAATAAATAATGAGAGACAAAATGATTTAGAGATAGTTATAGAAGTAAATTAGTGTAAAATTTGTGCACAGAAAAAAGATCATGTATTTCCTTTATTAATTACATAGATTAATAGTATAAATAGATATATAAATTTAAGTAAAAATGATATATCACTTTACAAATAAATTTTAAAAAATTGAGTTATACTCCAATAATCACTTTCCTAAATCATCGATATGGTCATTCTTTCCATTTTTTTGGGTTTAACCCATGATGGGTATTGTTATTCTTTCCATTTTTTTTATAACATTTTTGAATTTTTAATTTTAAATCTTAAATTCAAGCAACAAAATCACTCCGTAGTAGTCCGTACTCCGTTAGCCAAGTTCCTTTAGCAACAAAAGTGATCGATCACAATTGCAGGGTGGTCATGAAGTGATAAAAATGACATCAATTATAATGGATGGAAAATGGTGATGAAAGTATATATATATATATATATATATATAACCCTTAGATTAATCAAGTGAGAGAAAATTTGGGATTTAATCAAATGAGAGGAAATTAATCTAAGGATTATATTTTAACTCTCTTATCTCTCATAATAAATTCTCTCTCACTTGATATGCTCCCTATATATATATATATAGGGAAATGCTAATGTACTCCTACCTATTTTTTAGTGGGAGTATGTTAGTAACCTATACCAAAATTTTAAGACAAAAAAACTACTCATTTATTTTGATTTGGATAATTCATACAAAGGATATTATAGTAATTTAATTTAATTTTAAATGAAAATAAAATATTTTCTCTCTCTTATTAATTTCATTCTTCAATTCATTTATTTTTTTAATTAATTAATTTTTATTTGTTCAGAGAGAAAGGGGGGAGACATGATGAGAGATGAGGGAGAAATAAGTTAAAGAAATAATTTAATAGGAGAGAGATAAATATGTTAGAGAAAGAATTTAATAGGAAAAAAAATGAGTAGGAGAAGGAATTTAATAGGAGAGATAAATAACTTAGAGTGTGAAATTAATAAGAGAGAGAAAATATTTTATTTTTATTTAAAATTAAATTAAATTACTATAATATCTTTTATACAAATTAACCAAATCAAAAGAAATGAGTGGTTTTTTTATCCTTAAATTTTGGTGTAGATTGCTAACATACTCCCACTAAAAAATAGGTGGGAGTACATTAGCATTCGCTATATATATATATATATATATATATGATAATAATAGTGATTATGATAATAATACATATAATTAAGTGATATAATTGTGAGAGTGATGAAAATGTTGTATATATTGTCATTACAACTAAAATCCAAAAATTAAAATTTGTTATTTTATTTCAAATTTGAATTTACAATGTTGCAAAATTACGTAAAAAATTAAATTCGGTTCTTATTTAGTTAAACAAATTTTATTTTAAAAAATAAGTCTAATTAAAAGAAATACTAAAACTTCTTTATGACCGGAAGAGACTCTTAGTCCTCAATTTTAACAACTAATTTAAGATGTGTTTGTATTATCATTTATACAAGTTCTGATACTTCCAAACGAAAAAATGTATATATATATATATATGTGCTTTTAAATAAACGTACGTTTGCCTCTCAGAAATGTTAAAACACAAACTTAGTAATTGAATTTATAAAACTCGTCTACTATAGTCTTTTCCACTTTAATGAATAAAGAGAAATTGTTTTACGAAATTAGGGTATAAAATGAGATCAGTTTGTTGAATTAATATGAAAATGAACGGTAATTAATGACAACCCCAAGACTAAAGTGGGGATTAATTTAGAGAAATGACAGTGATCAAAAAGAGAAAAATTGTGATAATTTGTTAAAGCATAGATGAGTAAGATTAAAGATAATTAGGTAGTATATAATTTGCAGAGCTTACAGAAGTGGGTGACGAATTTCTGATACCCATGAACCCCAATGGCGCTGCCTGACCCCTCTGAACTTCCTCGTTTGCACCATGATGGTTTTGTTATCACTGGAGAGAGAGAGAAAAGATTATGGTGGAAGTGAAGATTTTGAATTATTCAGAGTGTTGACAAGTACATAAGGAATAGAATGCCAAAATATAAAGGGAGAAAAGCAAGAGGAGGAAGGTGAGTTTAATCAAAAGAGGGGCCATCTAAAAGCCTTTCTCTTACTCAATTTAATCATGGTCACCTAAATCCTTCCCTCAAAAAAGTAATTAATTAACCCTTCATTAAATGCTGGTGTTTGAGTTGCTGTGCAGTCACCAGATCATCCTTCCCTTCCTATAATGTCATATTCTCTTATGCTTCTCTAGTGATATTCTTCACACTTATCAATCCCATGTCAGACAAGCATAGTTACATATTTTTAAAAAATTCTTACTTGATTTTAAAAAAATTCTTATTGGCAGAATATCAAATATTATCCAACTTCTATTGATTAATGTTCTAAGATTAGTATTATTTTTGTTAACCAAACTCTTAGTACTACCTTCTTTCCAACTTAATAGCTGCTTAAGGTTTTTAGTAGTCTACAAAGTAATAAATGTTATATACATATATTTTTTTTATCGACAAAATACTTCTGAAGTTCCTATTAAAGGGAAATAATATTCTTACAACAATTTGTGTAGGATATATTTTTCTTTATTTATCCCACTCTCATTATTTATTACATTTATCAATGATGAATGTTGAATAAAAAATAATACAAATTATTGTTGTTCCTACCGTAAGTCCGCTGTCATCGTTAGGATCACCGCATTTGAGGTATTGTCCGTTTTGGCACTCGTTGGGCCCTCACGGTTTTATCCTTCAAAAGGGGCCTTGGTGGGTTAAGGAAGAAAGATGTTTATAAACTACCCTTAGCTTCGACTCCTAAGCGATGTGGGACTTTTTAGGCATACCGGAACATATGTATACTAATTAAGAGCATTAAGAAAATTAGTTGTTTAAACATGCATGTATATTATTTTATTTTGTTAGACTTAAAGCTGTCACATCACTTAAATAAATTTTAAGTAACTCATTATATTTTTTTTTATTCTAGTAGTAATTTTTTTTTACCAATTCTTACTAATATTTTTTCAATTTGATGGCGTAAAACTGATTTTTATCCATAAACTACCATACACTTCGATAGAAAAAACCTCAAATTTAAAATACTTTTCTATCACATAAACCGACTCTAATGATTATATATATATATATATAAACGACACGACTGTTTAAATATAAGATAATCATAAGACACTATATATGTTACAAATTGGGATCATAATATTATCAAAATATTAAATAACTAATACTATATACCACATTTTATGAAAATAAATATATTACTTCTCAAAATCATACGAGGCAACAAAATTATCCCATCCTATATATTAATTATATAATAAATAATTAAAAAAGAATTATCCTATTTCGTGTAAATATTTTTAGATAATCTTATCATTAAAATTTTAAATTATAAAAATTAATATTAAAAATTAATCATTAAATTCTTATAAAGATAAGGCTTGAATTTAAGATCTTTTAAGTTTGAAAATCAAATACAATACCAATTAATTTATTAAATATTAATAATTTTTTAAAAAAATTTATTAAATAAAGAATACGAAGTGTTGTACTTCACTAAATATGGATAGTATATATGAGTTATATAAGTTTATTACGATGTAGATGAATTTGTAAAAGCTAGATGTATGAATGCTTCCATTGAATATATACTGAAGTTGTTCCGTTCCATTAAAATCGTGAAATTCGATATATATAAAATGACCGTATAGTTAATTTCTCTCTGGTACAAGAAATTAATCATGGCAAACTTGTATAGCTTTGGTCATTCTTGTACCTAAAATTTTTCAAACTAGTCGGCTAATTTACAAGCCAGACACTAGGGTTAAAGCGTTACTATCTATAATTTATATTCTTTCAAGTTCAATTTTTTGGGGACCAGTTTGCACATGTAATATATGGAAGATTGATGATGAAGTTGACATTTAGTCGGATTCTATTATTTGCCATTATTATGTACTCACTTCGAATAATTACACGATGGTTAACTTGTTGTAAAGGGCTAAATTCAAAGTGGTTGGTGAATATAATTAAATCAAGCATGGTAGTTCGTGCATAAACGTCTGAAATCACAGTTTAAGACCCACATCCATATATATGTGATAGTTAAAAGCATTGCTTTTTAATGCCTTTTTAACTATAAAGTCAGCAAAGTTTATTTTTTATTTAAAATAGTTTTACACCGTTATTTAATTGAAATTGCGATTCATATCACCTTTAAAATAATTATAATAAAAATAAACAAATAATTTCTTTGCAAATTTATATGTTTCCAATATTATGATTAGCAAGATGTTATATCATATTCAGATTCAGATTAGTAAGTTTAAATGAATTTTAAATATTCAGGATTTTAAATATATATATGTACTATCCGTACTGCGAAGCCGAGCTCCGAGCTCGGCACCACAACGTAAGCTGACCTCGGACGCGCACCGCGTGGTATCAGCTCGGCATTTAAATTCCCGAGGATCTTGCCCCGGACGAGGTCTGATGGAATAACACTAAGGCCGAGAAGACCAAGAGGTGATATACTAAAGGAGGCAAGAGGAATGGGATAGTGAGGCCATTTTTGGACCTTAGCTCCTAAGTTTTTTTTTAGCATTTATTTTATTTTCTATTTTACCCTTGTATTTTGGGGTATTTTAGTCATAGAATTTATTTTCTTGTATTTCCAATTTTACCCTTGTATTTTGGGGTGTTTAGGACTTAGAATTTATTTTCTTTTGTATTTCCCATTTTACCCTTGTATTATGGGGTGTTCTAGATGATTAGGGTTTTAATTTTGGGCTAGGGTTTAACATTAGGAGGTGACGCATTTTTTGGTGACCTTGGACCTATTTTTGGTGTTAGAAAGGCTTAGGCCCAAGTGGAGGGCAAAGGTTGCATGGTCTTATCATGCACCTAGATATAGCCAATCTAAACCCATAGATTCCATCCTTGGCCACCAAGTTGCATCTAGGGTTCATTTGCATTTCATTTGGAATGCATTTGCCTACTCCAAATGCAACCCTAGATGCCTCCCCTCCTATAAATACCC